TTTCTGCTCCCGTAAAGATTTACAGCCTTGGAAACCCTGTTCAGGGTCATTATGGGTCGGAACCGACTCGATGGCACTTAACAACAACAACAACCAACTTCTTCAGTCTGAAATTGATCAAACATATAATCAAGATACATTGGTAATAACTGGTGATTGGAATGTGAAGGCTGGAAACAATGTGATAGAAGTGATGTTAGAGGTCAAATGATAGAATTTTGTAAGATCAATGACATTCCTTTTTTAAAAATGCAAATTCCATTTGTAAACAGCATAAAAGGCGATTGACTATACATATGGACCTCACCAGATGGAATACCCAGGAATCAAGTTGACTACATCTGTGGAAAAGCTCAATAACATTGGCCAAAACAAGGCTGGGGCTGACTGTGAAGCAGACCATCAATTGCTAATATGTAAGTTCGGGCTGAAGCTGAGGAAAATTAAAACAAGCCTACAAGAGCCAAAATATGACCTGGAACATATCCCACCTGAATTTAGAGAACATTAAGAACATATTTGATGCATTGACACCAATGAACAAAAACAAAAAGAGTTGTGGGATGACATCAAGAAGAAAGCAAACGATCATTAAAAGACAGGAAAGAAAGGAAAAGACCAAAGTGGATATTAGAAAATAACTCTGAAACTTGCTCTCCAGTGTAGCGATACCAAAGTGAATGGAAGAAATGAGGAAGTACAAGAGCTGAACAGAAAATTTCAAGGGGAAGACAAAGTCAAGTATTATAGTGAAATGTGCAAAGATCTGAATGGAATTAGAAACCAATAGGACAGAACAACACACTCAGCATTTCTCAAGCTGAAAGAACTGAAGAAAAAAATTCAAGCTTAGACTTGAAATATTGATGTATTCTTTTGGCAAGATGCTAAATGATGCAGAAAGCATCAGAGAAGATGGAAGTTTATATACAGAGTAACTGTACAAAAAATAAACGGTTGGTGTTCTACCATTTCAACAGGTAGCATCTGATCAAGAATGGATGGTTCTGAAGGAAGTCCAAGCTACACTGAAGGCACTGGTAGAAAAGGCTCCAGGAATCGACAGAATACAGATTGAAATCTTTTAACAAATTGCTGAAGCACTAAAGGTACTCACTCATCTGTATCAAGAAATTTGAAAGACAACTACACAGCTAACCAACTGGAAGAGATCTGTGTTTGTGTCCATTTCAAAGAGAGGTGACCCAGTGGAATGTGGAAATCACCGAACAGGATGAATGCTATCATATACATTTAAAATTTTGCTGTAGATAATTAAAAAACAGTTGCAACAGTACATTGACAAAGAACTGCCAGAAACTCAAGCCAGATTCAGAAAAGGACATGGAACTAGGGCATTGCTGATGTTAGATGGATCTTGACTGAAAGAAAAGGATACCAAAAAGATGTTTGCTTGTGCTTTATTGACTTTATGTAAAGGCTTTCAACTGTGTGGATTATGACAAACTGTGGATAATATTGCGGAGAATGGGTATTCCAGACGTTTCATTGTGCTCATGAGAACCCTGTCCGTAGAGTAAGAAGCAGTTTGAACAGAGCAAGAGAATATGGAATAGTTTAAAATCAGGAAAAGATGTGAACCTGAGTTGCATTCTTGTACTGTATGTATTCAATCTGTATTCTTAGCAAATAATCTGAGAAGATGGATTATATGAGAAGAATATGGCATCAGGATTGGAGGAAGACTCATTAACAACCTGTGATATGCAGATGATACATACAATCTTACTTGCTGAAAGTGAAGAGGACTTAAAATACTTATTGATGAAGATCAAAGGCTTCAATGTGAAAAATAAAAAAATAAAAATTTTTTGCCATTGGACCAATAAATAACATCATGATAAATAGAGAAAAGACTGAAGTTGTCGAAAACTTCATTTTGCTTGGATCCACTATCAACACTATTGGAAGCAGCTGCCAAGAAATCAAGTCTACTGCATAAGACCTCTTTGAAGTGTTCAGGAGCAAATATATCAATTTGAGGACTAAAGTGCACCTGACCCAAAGCAGGGTGTTTTCAGTAGTCTTATCATCTCATATGCATGTGAAAGTTGGACAGTGAATAAGGAAGACCATAGAAGAGTTGATGTATTCGAGGTATGGTATTGGAGGAGAATCTTAAAAGTACCATGCTGTCATTTTGCTGTTAGTTATTTTGTGTGTGGCTGCTGGTTTCTTTGTTCCACATAATTTTCTTTGTTGAGTTCATTTTGTTTGTGCATTTGCTTGTCACTTTCTTTGTTGCTGTTGTTGTGAGAGTTACTAACCTTCATGGTTTTCCTCTTTTTTGTTTTGATGTGAAAGTCTATTAATTTTCTTTGAGGTTACTCTGTAATTTATTAATTTCTTCGTCCATTTAAAACAGTCTGTTTTATTATAAAATCTACCTGACTTCTTCACCCTTTGGAAGTTCTCTAACTACCGTCTTCCCTTTTTTTGTTTTGTAGTTGCCTTCATTATAAATTGATAACTCTGCTTCCCTGTTTTCAGTCTAGGAGGCTTTGTTTTACTTGGGTGCTTACGGATCTGGATTGAGTTCTGGGTGGTGTTGCTGTGTATGTTAGTCTCAGGTTGTTGTCTGCTGTTGTTAGTTCTCAGTCCAAAGTACTCCCTTTAGTAATTTTTATAAAGTTGATCTTGTTATTGCAAATTCCTTTAATTTCTATTTATCTAGAAATGTTCTGATTTTACCATTACATTTTAGTGACTGTTGTGCTGGGTATTATGATTCTTGGTTGTCAGTCTTTTTCAGAGTTTTGCGTATCCCATTACCTTCTCGTCTGTATGGTTTCTGCTGAGAAATCAGAGTTTAGTTTTACTGGTTCTCCTTTGTAGGTAACTTTTGTTTTTCCCAAGTTGCTCTCAGAATTCTTTCCTTATCTCTGACTTCGGAGAGTTTATGATACATCTTAATTATTTTCTTTTGGGGTTGGTGTCCCACATAAATCTTAGTCTTTAGAGTTTTTCCATTTTCTTTCTGATTGTTGTTCTAGCATGCTAAGTATTGAGAGATTTATCTTCAAGCTCGCTAATTCAGGCTTCCATTGATTCATATCTAATTCTTTATATCCTTTCAATGTATTGTCCATTTCTGAAATCTTAATATTCATCTTCTGGATTTCTATTTGCAGATTTTGTACTATTTCCAGTCTTTCATCTGTTTTGTTTGTTTGTTCTTGTAGTGTTTTCCTGAATTCTTCCTTGCTTTCCTTGACGTTTCTCTCAATCAGTTGAAGATACCTAAATATCATTGTATTGAATTGTTTTTCAGGTAGTTCCAATGCTTTTTCTTCCTCAAAAAATGTTTTCTTGCTCTTGCATCTTGGTCACTTGTTTGAACTGTTCAGTCATGTTTCTTCGTGTGAACAGAATTGTCTGTTGCCTCTGCAGCATTGTGGTGTCACTGTATTTGTATTTATCCAATGATTGTATGTTAATGTGTTCTTAGGCACTTCTGAGACTAAGACTTTGCAAGAGCAAAGTGTGGCATGGCTAGTTGATTTGAAATGCTAACCATGTGGTTAGCAGCCCAGTGCCCAGCCTACTACGCCACTTGAGCTCCTTTTAATATGCTTTGAGCAAGACATATGAAAGGTACTGTTACAGAGTGGAATTGTACTCCATAGGGTTCTCATGTTTAAGGGAGCAGATTGCCAGTTGTTGCTGGGTAAGTTTAAACTGCTAATGTTTGGGCTAATATTCAAGTTCAAACCATTTACACTAGACAGGGAGACTAGTTGAGGTTTTTTCTGTCACCCAAGTGAGATGTTGGAAATCTGGACCAGCCCAGTGACATGAGGATAGGAATATATCGATTTGAGAAGCATTTAGGAAGCATGATAGAAAGGCTTTGGTGATTGATTGGAAAAACTGAAATGTAATTTATGTTCATATTATAACTATTTTTTGTTTTTTTAATTTTAACTCCAAAGCCAGTTTGTTTTTTTTCTGGTTTATGTGAATGCATGGTTAGGAAAAAAAAAAATCCATGTTTAGTAATACTCTTCTGAGCAAAATTCTTCAGTGGTGCTTCATATGCTTCTAGTGGCCCTTCTCCTAAATTGTGTTGAAGTAGTAACTCAGAGCTAGTCTCTGGTGACAAGGAGGTTGGTTTTTAAGGAACTGAGAAGTTAGATACAGATACATTTTCCTTTCAGGTTCATCTTAGTTTAAAATTTTTCCTCAAATATTTCTTTGTTGGGAGTCCTTAGGCATTTTGGTTTTCAAGGCGGTTTGTTGGGACATGCGTTTCTCATTCCCTAGAGCTATTAGACCCTTTCCATCTTTAGATCTCTGACCCTTGCCTTGTTGTCTTTGGAGCTGAAGTCCCACTGGTATTCGGTGGTAATAAGATCATTATCTGATATTTTGTGATGCATTTCATGACTTTCCAAGCGTTCATCCCCATGTCAGCACCCTTTATTCCCACAGTAAACCTGTGTGGAGGAGGGCAGGACAAGTCAAGTAACGGGGATTAAAAGCAGTCACGTGACTTGCCCAGGCAAAAGGTCAGTAAATAGTCGAATGGGTCATAGAACTTAGGTTTTTAGATCTCATAGTTTTTGTATTTTTTTTCGGAAATGCAATCTATCTCCAGGAAAAGGGCTTAGACTAGCTGGAATAGTTATGCCTTCAGCAGTAAAGACCCCCGGATGAAATGCTGGTTTTCCTCTTTGTATGTGCTCTGTGGAGCTTTACCCAGCCAGACAGAGGCATAGGTCTTTTCTATAGTTCTGAGCCATACATGGATGTTAACGTCAAGAAGCAATAACACATATGTTAAAAGTGTACATAAGTATATTTTAATTCTTTCCCCGCCCCTCTTAGACGATTCAAGGCCAAATGGGAAAGGTCTGCTTGGAGAGCAAGGCTCCTGGGGTCAGGCTAAACCAGACAGCATGTCCACAAGGTAATGTAGCTATCCCTTCATTTTGAACCTCTTGGGACCGTGGTTTTCCTTCTTAGAACTGAGGTCATTGCTGCACATGTGGTAGCTGGCCTAAGAAATGTTCCCTGTGATACCTGACATGCAGTGGGCACTCAACTGTGATCCGAGGCACCATGCTAAGTGCTCTGACATGCATTTTCTTATTGTAACCAAAAAGGAACGTACCATGATGATCACAGCTGAGGACACCCAGGTTATGTAACTCAACCAGAGTCCCCAAACTAACAAGTAGGGGATCTAGGATCTGAAGCTGGCATTCTAACCCCACTGTAGAAATGCATAAGGTTAGAAACATTTTGATTTCTCCCTCCCATTCTTTTCGGAGTTCTTCCCTTTTAAGTTGGGAGTCCTGGTGGCACGTGATAACAGAGCTCAGCTATGAACAAAGGTTGACCCCACAGGAGAACACTTGGGAGTCTGCTTCTGTAAAGACTTACAGCTTTGGAAACCCTCTGGGGCAGTTCTCCTCTGTCCTTTAGGGATGCTGTGAGTCAGAATCCACGAAAAGGCAGTTGTTTTTCTTTGTTTCTAAATATACTCTTTTTAAAAGTCTGTACTCTAGTGCCCCCTGCTGATCCTAGCAAGAACCATCTGGTCAACAGGAAACCACTAATTTGTGTCAGTATTTTAATTATGTACTTAAACAGCAATGAGCAATTGCTGAACTGTAAGTGTAGCTAGAGCTATTATTCTTAATTCACTTTTGAACATTTTTGGTATACATAGATAACATTTTAACAAACTCACTGGTGAATTCATTAAGTAGCCTTCAGTAAATGTTTCTTGAGCGATTATGTAGTGTTCTGTTAGTTAAATATGAGGGGGCTTGAAAAAGTTTGTGGAAAAATGAAATTAAAAGATAATTGGAATTTTCCACAAACTTTTCGAAGTCCCCTCTCATGTCAAATTCTACTGAACTTTTAATGTCAGCATTTGAAATCCTTTTCAGAAAGACTACAAATACATGTGTGAACGCTGCCTTTTTATTGTGAATGATCCCTGTTTGGTAGATTTGCAGAACTAGAATTTTCAAGTTAAAGGATCTGGATAATTTTATAATCTTGTTCTCTGACGTGAGCCTGCAGAAAGTACAATGTTGTCAGGTCTGAGTTCTAAACCAGACTGCCACTACCTTGCTGGGAAGCTTTCTGATACTGGGTCTCGTATGAAAACTGGAGAGACTAGATTAGATGCATTTCAAGATCTGCCTGTGTTCTAAGACTTGGTGAGTCTGGTATCAGAAGCCTCTCCAGTAAGATTGTACCAATACACTGTGTGATCAGCAGCATGTTAGTTCACTTAACCTCCACAATGAAAACAGTGTGGTTTTTCTAAATAGCAGATACATTCGTCTTAGCTGCCTTTAGTGTTTTGTAGCTCAGATGTTTTGTCTATGGAAACGTTTAGCTTTGTATTCATGTGTTCTGCCCTGGAGGACTTACCCAAATCTGATGGTTGTGTGTGTGTTTCTAGGCAGAATAAATCCAAATCTGAAATAACTGACATGGTTCGCTCCTCCACGGTCACAGTAGCAGATAAGGCTCATATTTTATCGGTGAAGAAGTTTGGACTACGAGATACAATTGTGAAGTCGCATCTACTGCAGAAAGAAGAGGACTATACCTATGTCCAGAGCTTCAGGTAGCTAATGGGACTGTAGACCATTTTCAAAGCAAAATGATCACTCAGCTCTGAAATTTCAACACTTCTCCCTGTGCCCTGGATTTGGAAGCAGATCATTTCCTGGACTTACCCCCCTCATTTCCTTCCAACAGAAGTGATTGTTTTTTTTTTTTTTCCTTCCAGTTTTTATTGTGAATTGAGTGATAGTTTACATGGGGGAACATCAGTTTTACATTCATCGTTTCATTGCAATGATTACAATCTCTTCTGTCCATCATCATTCAACAGTATTTGCTTCTATTCCCTTTGGTTGTTTTTTTGTTTTGTTTTTTTCTTTTTAGTGTGGGGGATGTACACAAAAGCACTCAGGATTATATAATCATTTAAACATCCAAAGGATGCATTCTGCAAGCCTGCCTCCTAGATGCCAGCATGCAGCCTTTCTCTTTCCATGAGTCTAGCGTCCTCAGCTGCTCTCTCTTTCCATGTCTTCATCTTTCTCCATCTCTGGTGTCACTGCTTCTCTGGATAGGGTCCCACATTCCGCTTATGTTCTTCTCCCTTGATGGTCCTAGGGTCCTCTGTTCCTGGACTGTAAGATTAACTACTCCCCTCTTTTTTTGTTTACAGGGCAAATCATCAGTTTTACATTCAACAAATTATATACCTAGTTTCATTACAATGATGATAATCCCCTCCATGTACCATCAGTTTACAGTATTTCTCTCTATTCATTTTAGCTCTCTCTCTTTTTTTAAACGCTTAGGCATATATAATAATTTACACCAACAAAGGGCATATTCTGCAAGTCTGCCTCCTGGTTGCCAGCTCTCAGTCCCTCTTTTCATGTATCTAGAGTCCTCAGCTGCTCCCTCTCTTTGTGTCCCCATCTCTGTCTCCATCTCTGATGTCGCTGCTTCTCTGTATAGGGTCCCACATTCCGCTTGTGCTCTTTTCTCTTGATGGTCCTAAGGTTCTCTGTTCCTGGACTGTAAGATTAGCTACACTCCCGTTTTTGTTACAAAACTTCTACCTTTACAGTTGTGACAGTCACAATTAGTCATGATTATAATTACTTACTATTGAATCATAAGAATCTTATCCCATCTCCTTTCATTGGACCCATCTAGATGAGATGAAAACTATTCAGTGGTAATACACCTTATTTATTTATTTATTTATTTTTAAGGAAGATTTAAGAACAAATTGACAGACTTTGTATTTTAAAGGTAGTTTTAGGTTTACAAAAAACTGAACAGAAAGCAGGCTTTTCCCATGTGCTGCCTCCCCATTTTCCCCACTGTTTAGCATCTTGAATTTGTGTGGCAAGTTAGTTATAATTGATCAATAAATACGAATACATTATTTTTAACTTAAAGTCCATAGTTGATATTAGGGTTCACTCTTATACACAAATGAGTTTTGACAAATGTATAATGCCATGCGTCTACCATGAATAGTTTCACTGCCCGTAAAGCCCCCAGTACTCTACTTATTTCTCTTTCCTTTCCTCCCTGCAGTGGGAATTCTTACCATTTCTGTGATTTGGTCTTTTCTAGAATGCTCCAGAGTTGAACTCAGACTGCCGTCTTTCGCTGAGCAATATGAGTTTATGATTCCTGTGTGTCTTTGTATGACTTGATAGCTGATTTCTCTATAACTAAGTAATGTTCCAATGTGTGGATGTACCACAGTTTGTTTATTCACTTAGTGAAGGACATCTTTTTAAATTATTGCACTGGGACTGTAAAGCAAACTAACATTATTTCTAGGGATATACACAGTAAATTATGAAAAATAGCCTTTTGTATACTGGCCACGGAAAGTAATTACCGAGTCGCTTTTCAGGTTTTCGTCTTAGTAGCACACATACAGAGCAAAGACTCACTTTGGTGATTTGTGATTCTGTTCATGTCATAACGGTTAAAGGACACTAGGAATGTTCAGAGTATATCTATACTGTTTGTAGTTGTTACCATCAGAACAACAAATACAGCAACAGACTGCAAACCATCCTTTGCTGCCAGCCTCAGTCTAGGTCAGATATGTTGTTTCCTAATGTCTTAAAAGTCTATTCCAGAGAGACTGAAAAAGTGTTTTTCCTCATCATCTGCCAAGTTCTTCCTAGTCATTGATTCTCTTTGCTGACAGATTCTTTGTGGGAACATACAATGTGAATGGACAGTCCCCTAAAGAATGCCTCCGGCCCTGGTTAAGCCATGATACCCAGGCTCCAGACGTGTACTGTATTGGGTAAGTGGGTCTCTCCTAGCTGTGGAGCCACGCTCAGCAATGTGTGCCTGTGCTGGGTGGGCTGGGAGTACAAATACATCACAGCAGGTGAGGGAAAACGAACAGTGAGCATCTACTTAATAGCAGAGCTTCTCTTTTGGATGTTCTTCCTCATGGGAAACCGATTTCTGGTTTTGGAAAGCACTATTAAAAAGTGCTGTGCTTGACATTTGAATGCTAATATTTAATTTTTGCTATAACCTGCTATCAGATGCAGTGAGTGTTGAGCCTAGTCTCATTGCTTAGACATTAGACACTTTGTTGATCACATAGTAAACATATCTTTGGCCAGGAATGGAAGGTTAGCTAAAAACCAGCCCCATCAGTCAGTTTTTTTGTATACTTCCTGTCTTCTTACCATTATTGTTAAGTTCTGTTGACTCAGATCCAATTCAAAGTGACCCTGTACAGGGTTTCCGAGGCTTTACATCTTCATGTGAACAGAAAGCTTCATCTTTATCCTGCAGAGCCACTGGCGGGCTCAAACCTTGGACATCATGGTTCGCAGTTCAGTGTTTATCTATGGAGTCATTATGCTCCCTCTTAACAGTAGACTACGTACTATGCGGGGATGAAAAAGCAAAACAAACAAATAAACAAAACTGTATGATACAGTGGAAAGCAGTCAAGAAGTCTCACAACATATTGCACAGATTAAATCTGCTGCAAAAGATCGCTTTAAAGTGTTCAAAAGCAAAGATGTCACTTGAATGACTAGGGTGTGCCTGACCCAAACCATGGCTTGGTCAGTGACCTCATCTGCATGTAAAAACTGGTCAGTGATGGGACCTCCTAAAAATTAGATACTTGTGCACATCAAAAGATTTTACCAAAAGAATGAAAAGGAAGCTAATAGGCTGGGAAAATTTTTTTGCAAAAACACATAAGACAAGGGACTAATCTCTAAAATTTATAGAATACCACAGCATCTCTACAAGAAAAAGAAAAATAATCCAATTTAAAAATGAGCAGACATGAACAAACACTTAACCAAAGAAGATATTAAGACAGCCAACAAACATGTGAAGAAATGTTCATGATCGTTAGCCATTAGAAAGATACAAATCAAAACAACAATGAGATAATCATCTCATACCAGCATTTATAACAAAGATTAAAAAAACAACAACCAGAAAATAACAAATGCAGGTGAAGGTGTGAAGAGACTGGGATCCTCCTCTATTGCTGGTGGGACTGTAAAAATGGTGTGTAACCACTGTGGAAAACAGTATGATGCTTCCTCAGAAAGTTGTAAATAGAAGTATCGTATGAGCCAGCATTCCCTCTACTTGGTATATTTACACAAGAAATAAGAGCAGGGACACAAGTAGATATATACACATAAATAATGATCATTGAAGCACTGTTCTCAATAGCAAAACAGTGGAGACAGCCTAAATGCCCATCCTTTGGAAGAGTGGTTAAACAAACTTTGGTACGTATACACACAATAGAATACTACGCAACACTGAAGTATAGAGATGAATGTGCAAAGCTCCTTAGAACACTCATGAACCTGGAGGACGTTATGCTGAGTGAAATAAGTCGATCACAAAAGGGCAAATATTGCATGAGACCACTACTTTAAAACTCAAGAAAAGGTTTTCATACTGGAAGAAATATTCTTTAATGATTACCAAGGGTGGGAGGGAAGGGAGAGTAATTCTTTGGCTAGAGGGTAGACATGGTTAACTAGGGTGATGGGGAGGCCAATATACAAGAAGGGGGAGGGCAGTGTACACGAAGAGGGAGGTTGGTAGAAGATTGATGAAGATAGGTGAAGGCACAGGGAGGTATGCAAGGGCTGAAGGGAATAGCGGTAAATAGTGTTGTATACCCAACCTTAGGTGTGGGAGAAAGAGTGGGCTATCTATATGTGTGTGTAGTGTGTCTGTGTGTGTAGAGACTCCTGGTGTGGTGCTGTAGGATCAGCACAGGACTATGAACTACAAGGCCAGCAGTTCAAACCTACCACCAGATGCTCTCAGAAACCATAAACAGGATTGGTATGAGTAGGAACTGACTCATTGGCTCTTAACAATAATAATAGCGTGTATGTATAAATGTATCCCACAGATATATGAGTTTGAAAGAGGATATTTGTACATGGTAACCACGGTTAGGAAGAGGGACAACTGTTATTACATGGAGGGATTGTAACCATTGAGATAAAGTATATGATTTGTTGGATGTAAAACTGATGATTTTGTCCATAAACCTTTACTCAATTCACAATAACAACAACAACAACAACAAAATCTTTAAAAATAAAACTGGCCAATGAACAAGGAAGATTGAAGAAGAATTGACACATTTGCTTTTTGGTGTTGGCAAAGAATATTAATGTACCTTGGACTGCCAGAAGAGTGGATGGCACTACCAGTCTCTAGAAAAGGACATCATGCTTGGTAAAATAGAGGGCCCGTGGAGACACTGGGAACTCTCCATGACACGTGTTGACACAGTGGCTGCAACAATGGGCTCAAGCATCCCAACAGTTGTGGTGGTGGTACAGGAGTGGGCAGTCCTTCCTTCTGTTGTACAGTCACTTTGAATCAGAGTCAACTCAACAGCAACAAACAATAACAAAAAGGTTGAAGCCTAGCTTGTCACTTGGTGCTTACATGAGCTTCTATGGATAAGTCTCTGAGGTCAGTAATTGCTTGTAAAATGGGAGTGCTTTCACTTCATGGGTTGATGATGAAGAGTTGATGAACTGACATTTGTGAAAGCACCTTTAAGGTCCTTGGCATTTAGTTCCTTGGCAGTAAGTGTTGATTTTTCTTCTGTCCTGAAGGAACCGTCTCTAGAGTTAGAACGTAGGCATCTAAACCAATCTGGGATCATGTCATATTAACTTTTTCTGTACTCGCTAATTGATTGCTTCTTCCAACAGGTTCCAGGAACTTGATCTGAGTAAGGAAGCCTTTTTCTTTCATGACACTCCAAAGGAGGAAGAGTGGTTTAAAGCTGTATCAGCTGGTCTACATCCAGATGCTAAGTATGCAAAGGTACACTAGGAGCTAGGGTCCTTTTAATTTCATGGTTCCATCAGAAAAATTCTAAGATAAATTTTCATTTTATTGCATTGTTGTTGTTAAGTTGGTACCGACTCATAGTGATCGTGTATTAGGTTCCCAGGGAGTGGTTGGTGAGTTTGATCCGCTGACCTTAACTGCTGTCAAGTTAGCATCTAACTTATGGCAACTCCATGCACAACAGTATCCGGTGTTGTGACCCATCAGGTTTTCATTGGCTGCTTTGTGATGGTAGATTTCCAGGTCATGTCTTATTCTAGAAGCTCTGTTGAAACCTTCTCAGCATCATTGCAATACACAGCCTCCACTGACAAGGTGCGTTGGTGGCTGTGCTCAAGGTGCATTGACTGAGAATTGAACCTGGGTCTCCCGCATGGAAAGCAAGACTTTTACCACTGAGCCTTTATCATAGGCCAGTTCTAATTGTCTTGACATTTTCATTTCCAGATCTTCTCGAAGGGTGTCTCTGGTTGGAAAGATGCAGAGTCTCAGCAGCAGTGTAGGCTATTTAGGTTATCATGGAGCATGTTCCATGTGTCAAACCCTGTGTTCCAGAAGGCAAAGGAGGTTCTTCAATACCCTTGGCTAGCTGTGGAGCATTTAAGCCTGTTTTCAACTTCTGTTAATGCCATAACTTTGATTGGGCTCTGTGGTTTGGCTCTGCTTTCTAGGTGAAGCTCATCCGTCTGGTTGGGATCATGCTGCTGTTATATGTTAAGCAAGAACATGCAGCGCACATCTCAGAAGTGGAAGCGGAGACCGTGGGGACAGGAATCATGGGGAGGATGGTGAGTTCCTGGCTGGTAGGTTTGGTGCTGTGGGGGCCTCAGTCCCCAGAACTTTGACCCAGCTTCTCATAGCGCAATGAGGGCTAGACTGAGCAGACTATTGACAAATGGTATTTAGCAAGGTCCTGGATGAATTGTCCCAGTAGTCTGTATCCCTGTGTTCATGCAACACTGGAGCTCCAGCTGACCCTCCCATTAAACCGTGAAGTGTTTTGAAGAGACTGTGTTGGGTCATCAAGGAAAAGAAGGAATGCCGAAATGAGGTGTGAGGTGTGCTGCCTCTTCCTTGTCCATTTGAGGCTGCTCAAGTCTGCTCTCAGGGTTGGTGGCAGGAGCTCTGGCTTCGTGGGGAGGAGGGGTGCCTGGAGGAGGAGCACAGACTGACCTGACACATATGCTGCAGCATGGTGTGCCTTGTTATACAGTGCTGAGGAAGACAGGCCTGCAGGCAAGCATTTATTACTGCTTACCAGGGCTCTGTATGGGAGACAGGGAGAGGTAAAGGCAGACCACACCTAGGGGACACTGGGCTTCTCTGAAGGATGAGGGAAAAACTGGGGGATGGTTGAACAATATGATGATCATTAACGTCACTGAGTTGTGATGTGAAGTGTGCTGAGGATGTTAACTGTCCGGTTACATATGTGCTGTTGTTGTGTGCCATCGAGTTGGTTCTGGCTCATAGTGATCCTGTATGGGGTTTCCGAGGGTGAAATCTGTGCAAGATCAGAAAGCCTCATCTTTGTCCTGTGGAGCAGCTGGTAGGTTCGTATTCATTACATATATTTACCACAACACAACGAAAACAAAAAGAAGGACTGAGAGAGCCAGTTCTGGACCCGGCTTTGCCTCTGACTGGTTAGTCATGACGCCTTCTTAGGTTAGATTTGTTTTCTTACCTGTAAAATATAGGTAATAGAAATAGTCACCTTAGCCTAATGTAACCTTGCAGGCTCATTGTAGGGACGAATTCAGAGGCTCAAACATTTAGAAACTGTCTGAGTGTAAGTGACTGACGTAATGATGTGAGTCAGGTTTCTGTGCTGTGCTCCTTTTCCCAGGGTAACAAAGGAGGCGTGGCAATCAGGTTCCAGTTCCACAATACCAGCATCTGTGTTGTGAATTCTCATCTGGCAGCCCACACTGAAGAGTATGAGAGGAGGAACCAGGATTATAAAGACATCTGCTCCCGAATGCAGTTTCCTCAGATTGACCCAAACCTGCCCCCTCTCACCATCAGCAAGCACGAGTGAGTCTGGGCATCTGCCCATGTATTTCAGCTTTTCTGATGTGCCGAGTGGTGGGCTCTGTTGTTGGGCAGGTGGCTGGGGGAGGCACACTCCTGCAGGAACAGTAGTATCTGTCAGCTCTTACATATGGACGCTAACGCACTGCCGTCAAGTCAATTCTGATTCAGAGTGACCCATAGCACAGTACTAATCCGTAGGGATTCCGTGGCTGTAAATCTCTTTGAGAGTAACTAGCCTCTTGTTTCTCCTGTGAAGTGGCTGGTGGGTTTGCCTCCCTGTGGTTAATCCTCTGCACCACAAGGGCACCTATGTAGGTGATAGTTTCTTGACTTACCCTGTGGTAAAAACCAAATAAGCCCAGCCCATTGTCATGGAGTCGTTTCTGACTCCTGGTGACTTCTTGTGTTACGGAGTAGAACTGCTCCAGAGGGCTTCCTTGGCCGTCATCTTTATGGAAACAGATCTCCAGGCCTTTCTTCCGTGGGGCCATCAATGGGCTCAAGGTTCATGGTCAAGTACAAACCATTTCCCCTAACAATGACTTTACGTCTGACAGACCTCTGAGTTTCTTCTCAAACATCATTTGTCCCCAGGAAACGTCTACAATTTATTGAAATCTAGGTCTGCTTTGATCCAGCATCATGAGGAAAGCAGCCCAGGAGGGAGCATTGGCGTTCAGTTTTTAGAAGGATGTGTAAGGGTTTTATAGGTCCGTCCTTGGCAAAAGCATGTGTAATTGAGAGCTGAGTAGCATTTGTTTGTCTCCACTGACAGTTGTTTTGGCTTTTTGACTCTACTTTACAAATCTATAGTTGCAGCTGCTTGGAGCATCTTGTGTTCATTTTTGTTTAGTTTTGTGATCTCTCAGACTTCTCAATTGTCTAAGTTCAGAGCACATTGGAATTTCAGGCTTTATAGTCGTACTTGAAACACGTGTCACTTCTTTTCTAAAGAGGAAGGCGGCACTGGGGTCAAGGAGTGGCTAGAGCCAAGCCTGTCTTCCTGTCTGCGGGAGGCACGGGGGGTGCTTGAGTAGAAGTTCATGAGGATTCAGGCAGCTAACAGAATGGCTTTCATTCTCCAGGGAACCTAGCAGGGAGCGTGAGCTCTTGCTTCCCGGTGAATCTGCAAGTGAGGATGTCACTTGTCTACTTTTAGCTTGTACATGTGTTTATTTTAGGGGTTGTGCACGGTGCAGATTCTCTAATATTAGATACAGTTGTTGCTTTGGATAGAACAGTACTGGACTTTTTTGCAAGTATGATGTCATCTAGGAGTATTCTTTATCGTCTATCCACTCAAAGCTTGATATCCCAGAGCAGTTGGTGTAATAAAAGACCTGTCACACTCCACAGAGGCTTGCTAATAGAGCTAACCAATGGCACAACCAATGGCTGTGCTTAAAGGTGGGGCTTTGTTTCAGAGGAACTCCGCTCAGAGGGTGCTGTGTGAACTGGGGTGTGAGTGGAGGCAGAGGCAGTCACGGCATTGTCTGGTCTGGGGCCCCTGACAATTGCACATGTCTTCCAATTCCTGATCTATTTTGCCTTGTGAAGACAAGAATGAGATCTATTAGCAGTTTGCTTTTAGATCGTAGTCGTTTGTCTTTCCATTCTTACACAATAAATGAGCAAGGCTTTTTATAATGGACTTGGACCAAGATGATTGAATAAGCAGTACATTAGATGGGGTATTAAAGAGGCCATCACTGCTAAGTGTCGTTGAGTTGGTTTCGACTCATAGCAATACTATATAGGGTTTCTGAGAAGCCGCTGGTGGGTTTAAACTTCTGATCTTGTGGTTCACAGTCCAGTGCTGATCCTACAGCGCCTTAACTTAGGAGTCCATTAAAGGTGCTTTTGTTGTTGTTAAATGCTGTAAAATCGATTCCAACCCATAGTGAACCCTGTATAGGGTTTCTTTGGAGTGACTGGTGAGCCTGAACCACGGACCTTGTGGTTTAAACCAACTTTGTAGTCCAGCGCATTAATCCACAGTGCCACATCAGGACTCCTTTTAAAGGTACTAGCAAGAGGCCTGGTGTGACGATGTGGGTTAATGTGCTGGACTGCAAAGTCGGTTTGAACTGCAATGTCTGTGGTTCAGGCTCACCCAGCCACTCCTTGGAAACCCTATACATGGTCACTATGGGTCAGAACCAACTCGATGGCATTCAACAACAACAAGCAAGAGAGAAAAAAAATGCCTGAATACCCCCTCGCTTCTCTACCCAGCTCCCGAGAGACTGAGCCTCAAGGACCTTCTTTGAGAAGCACCCTGGATGGGATGAGTTCAAGTCCCTCCTAAACCCTCTTCTTTGTGTGCTCTGTCCTTACAGTGTGATCCTGTGGCTGGGGGACCTTAACTACAGGTTAGAAGAGCTGGACATGGAAAAAGTGAAAAAACTCATTGAAGAGAAGGCCTTTCAAACCCTGTATGCATACGACCAGGTACAGATGGCCACCCTCTCACTGTGTGGACAGGAAGATGCTGGGCTTCCCAGGCTCTGGCCACTTCTTCCTCAGCTTGGGAGGGGTCCCTAAAGAGTTGGTGTTGTCCAGGCATATCTTGGTCTTATCTGTGCATCCCTGTCACACCATGTTGACTCTTGACTCTGTCTTTGAGGTACCTTATCTTCTTGGGAACAGGAGCACTCCCTTTCTGTCGCTTGCTTACTCAGGCCTGAAACTGGGGTTAAAAGGGCACCAAGCTTCTTTTAAAGGAGGTATTTGGTATGCTTAGGCTGACTGACTAATTTGTTTTGGACTGAGCCTCCCTCCTGCCCACCAGACTTGCCCAGTTTGGATGAACAACTCCTCTTTCAGAGTGACTTTCTTCATGTCCTGCAGGAATCAGTTCTGTAATCTGCTTTTCTTAAGAGCATTAGCCATTTCACTGTGCAAGAGAAATTTGTTTCTCCCTGACTTTCTCCACTCTACTACTCTCAATAGAATTCAAAACTGTTTAAGTGGCCAGAGGTATTTAGGCCTTGTTTGGGGGGGTGGGCAGACAGTTTTTATTCCCCCTGTTTATACTGTAAATATTGCAATAGCAGGGATGCTAGCTATTATTAATGATGTGTCAGAGCACTATTCTAAGTTGAAAGTTAATCTTCCTAACAGTCCTAAGAAGTAGACTCTATTATAATTTCAGAATTTACAGATGGGGAAACCAAGGCACAGGGCTTCCCCCAAGTCTCATACCTAATTTGACAACTCAGTTCTGTCTTTATAGTACACATAGATGATGATGTGTTTGGATCCAGGGAGGGAAGAAGTCTTAGTTCAGTGGTACCTGATCTTCCCAGAGACATCTCAATAAAATGGTACTTAGGCCCCTAGGATACAGGTACACACTTTTTGAAAAGAGCATTTAAAACTGCATCTGTGAAGGAATCACCAGCTTGCTCCTCTTCCTAGGAGCTAGTTGACACAAGATTTTAATGAAATAGCATTCTCATGGGCTCTTCCCTTTGGGTTGGGATCCTTTTGTCTACCCAGTTCAAAGTCTGGTTTTTTCCTTCCTGAGATTTTTTTCTTCTATTGCTTTGTATAGTTGAAAAAGCAAGTGGCTGCAAAGGCTGTCTTTGAAGGCTTCACAGAGGGCGAGCTCACGTTCCAGCCTACTTATAAATATGACACTGGCTCCGATGACTGGGATACCAGGTAGGTCCGAGGTGGCTTCAGGGAGTGGAGCAAACGGAAACTCAGAGGCCCTAGGAGGCACTTGCTCTCGTGGACATAAAGAGGAAGAAGATGAATTGCCTGTGACTTTTTTCCTCTGTTTTGAGTGCTGGTGAAACATTTTCTCTTTGGATCTACTCACTAAGCAGCCTGGCTTCCTAGTGCTTTCTTTCCCTTTGTTTTTGGTTTGCATTTAATTCAACTACCGTATTCTTTGTTCCATAATGATTCTTGATACTGTGGACTTTTTAGCCCTGCTTTAGGTGATGAGATGATTCCAACTATGTTGGCTTGGGCTTGGTCATTACAAGTAGTTAATTTTTCATTACGAGGTACTTAATTAATATTTTTTATTAGTGCTAACTGTGCCACATACTATTCTGTACATTTTATGTGTACGATCTCATTTACTCTTCTCAACAACCCTATCAGGTAGGTACAATTCCTTTTCCTCCTTTTATAAATCAAGGAACTGAGATATCAAGAGATTAAAGTCTGCAAGCGAAAGAGGCAGAATTTGAACCCAAGCAGTCAGAATTCAGAGCCTATTCTCTTAACCACTCTCTTTTAAGGACCATGGAGGACTTACTCTCAAAGTTGCCTTCTGACTCTCTCCTGATCTCTGCTGGAGAGTAAACAGCAGAGAATCAGTCTGAATAGTGTTTTGGCTTTAAGCTTTTGGAGTTGTTTTGGATGATCCCCCACAGGATACTCATTTTCCTTTTGGTGGCCCTGAATCAAGTTCTACGTCATCAGACCACTTGGCTGTGTGGACTCGGAGGCTCTGCCCTGTCAGACCCTGACAAAGCCAGGGCACTAGCCAGCCAGTAGGTGCTGCTGTCTCTGTGATGGCTCCCAGTGTGGACTTTTCATTTCAGTGAGAAGTGTCGTGCTCCTGCCTGGTGTGACCGGGTCCTCTGGAAAGGGAAGAACATCACTCAGCTGACTTACCAGAGCCACATGGCCCTGAAGACCAGTGACCACAAGCCCGTCAGCTCAGTGTTTGACATTGGGGTAGGTGGGCAACTGGCATCTGTTGTCATTGTTCTATGGGGAAGTTGGTTCTTACAACCAAACCACTTTGTTTTTCTGATCTTCTCCACCCTCTTTTAAAAATTGTTTTAATATTGCATCGACTGATTCTGCATATGTGTCACTTCCCAATTGCTTTTGGATTACGCCTTTCCAGATTTTTTTCTTAAGTGTGTCAGTGTTCTATATACAACATAGAGGATTTTTATTGTTCCTTTTGCTAAAAGAGATCGTATTATATATACTGTTCTGATCATTATACATCAGCCTCTGCCACTGGATGTCTTTGGAGATCTTTCTATGTCAGTAAAGGTAGGGCTTTCTCATTGTTTCTAAAGGCTACAAAGTATTCCATAATGTGTGTGTTGATGACCCTTTAATTTTCCCAAGTTTTACTATGATATATAGTGTTATGGTGAGCCCCCTTCATTCGTATCTTAGTGTACCTAGGGGAGTGGTTCTATAGCATGAAATTCATAGAGGTGAGGTTAGTGGCTCAAAGGCACTAACTTTTTAATTCTGAATATACTAGATACTGCTAAATAATCCTCCCAGCATTCTTTAACATTTTCTGCCAAACATGTATGAGCTTATTTTCACACTTTTTCTATTGTTGGATTCTATTAATCTTTTAACTGTTTGCCACCCTGAGCAAACACACACATACACACAAGGAGGCTTTATAACATTCATGGGAAAATTCCATAATTTTTTAAATGAAATTTTTCCACAAATTTTTTGATACTCTCTTGTATGTGTGTGTGTATTTTGTGTGTATATATACACAAAACCAAACCCACTGCCACTGAGTCGATTCTGACTCATAGTGACACTGCTTAGGGGGTTCCAAGGTTATAAAGCTTTACACGAGCAGAAAGACTCATCTTTCTCCTGCAGAGCAACTGATAGGCTCGAACTGCTGAGCTTGTAGTTAACAGTGCTGTGCTTATCCTGTAGCACTACCAGAGTTCCACATCTACACACATACACATATATATATAAATACGTGATTTATTCTTTTAGAGTAAATTTCCCTGGTTACCTAGTAAGCTTTACTACTTTTTTCATTTATTTCCTACCTGTTTGTATTTCTTATGTTTTTGTGTTTCTTTTTGTTATTGATTCTCAAGAGTAGAGTTGTACCAGAATCCATAGGAGTCTGGGCATTTTCAAAAGTAACCTAATGGATGTTGTAATTAAATATGATTATTGGAAAGGGGAAATTTTGTCATTCAAAAACCAGGAGGGAAAGTTTGGCAGACCATTCTTGGCTGACAGTTGTCTGTGTGCCGTCGAGTAGATTCCGACTCATAACGACCCTGTACAGGGTTTCCAAAGAGTGGCTGGTGGATTTGAATTGCTGACCTTGTGGTTAGCAGTCTAGTGCTGATCCTACAGCACCACACATGGTTTAAAACAACAAACAAAACCCTTGAGAAACACTGCCGTAATCAAAACCCTAGCATAGTTTCTCATTGCGCGCTTGGGAGCTGAGCAAGCAAAATCGAAGTAGGCACTTGGCATCTTTCTTTCTGCTCTACACCTAAAACCTGGCAGAACTGCCAACCAGACTTTTACTGTCATTCTACTTTCTGCTAGTCAGAAAATGGCTGACTTTACCTCAAGCTTGGTTTCCAGGGTACCCTATAAATTATATTGTTAATTGGGTCCCTTATTAATGAATTAAATCTTTTTAGCTTTCACTTGCTGTAGATGATTACTGGGTTGCTCTCCACTGCTGTTTCCCAGTGCTGTGGGTACCCTCTACACTGAAAGAAAAAAAAAGGGGGGTGGGTGGGGTAGAAGCCAAGGCACTCAGTCAGCCTCTGCTGTTTCTCTTCCAGGTGAGGGTCGTAAATGAAGAACTTTACCGGAAGACTATGGAGGAGATCATCCGCTCCCTGGATAAGATGGAAAATGCTAACATCCCTTCTGTGTCCCTCTCCAAGCGAGAGGTAGGAAGGACATGTTAAGTATATCAGCACCAGATTCTTCTATTTGTTGTAGAACTTAAATCTCCTGCAGCAACTAGGGCTTAGAGGAGGACCTCCTGAGACCATACCTGGATAGGTTGCATGTAGATGAAGTGAGGCCAGTGATATTAGTTGGGAAGAGATGGCTTGTTGTTTGAGGTTATAGGTTATGTTTATCTCTTGATCTTCAAAGCCATCAATCTTTAGGGGTTTGAGGCTCACATATTCCATCCCCACATGGACCATCCATGAGTTTAAATGATGGCATTGATTATTGTGGCTGTGTGCTTTCAAAGTCAGTTCCAAACTCCTAGTGACCATAGGACAGAACAGAACTGCCCCCGTAGGGTATCCAAGGCTGTCATCTTGGCAGAAGGAGACTGCCACAGTGTTCTTGCTGGGACCAGATAATAAAGGTTGAACCATCAACCTTTTAGTTAGCAGCAGAGCACTTTAACCACCAGAGCTCCTTAAATAATGGCATAGATGATCTAAAATGTTATGTGGTTTTGGAGTAACTGGTATATATAGTTGTGCTCTGGATTTATCTTTCTAATGATGTTTTGCTTTGATTAAAATTCAGTCTGAATTTCTTGGGTTCACATGAGTTAATAGGAGGGAAGGCAATATAGGCTAGTGATGAACATGTTGTTTAGTGCCTTCAAGTTGGTTTTGACTTATAGCGACCTTGTGCATAGAGTTTTTGAGGAGTGACTGGTAGGTTTGAATTGCTGACCTTATAGTTCAAACCAACCTTGTGATCCAGTGCATTCTCCTGCTGTGCCACACGAAGATGAGCAATAGGAAAAGTCAAATTAGGTGCCAAAGGTTTTTCATAAAGTGCCAAGATCATTCAGAGTTGGCAGTACCAACCAGTCATTCAGATGCTGGTTTATGGTGAGGGTGTTCTTAATGCTCTAGGTATCAGCTCTTTGGAAGGATGAGCTTGAGCTTCATGCTTGGGGGTAGGATTTATGAAGGGTGTTTTGGAAATGATCTTGAGTATGGAGGGTTAAACTTCAGCTATAGGGTTTGAAGGTTTCTAGGTTAAACATAACACTGTGGGTCTTTAGTGGTACTTGTGGCCTCTCAGGTAAATGCAAAGCAGAAGTGCTATTTCAAAGAGATGGCTCTTGCTTTTCTCTCCAGGGTAAGAATAGCCCAGTTGGGGTGGCTGGCGGGTTGCTGAGGAGAGGATGCTGGTTCTGACTGGTCCTGGGCTTGCTTTCAGTTCTGTTTTCAGGATGTGAAGTACATGCAGTTGCAAGTAGAATCGTTCACAATTCATAATGGACCAGTTCCCTGCCAGTTTGAGTTCATCAGCAAGCCTGATGAAAAGTTCTATTGTAAGCAGTGGTTGAGTGCCAGTCCCAGCAGAGGGTTCCTCCTGCCAGGTAAGACCTCTCTTCCCAGCTTCCTAGTTGCTGCTTTGGGGAGCAACCTATCTTATCTGTGCTCATTCTCCTAAACTAAGCTTTTTTTCTCAAGCACTGTGCGTCCTGGTGTGGCACTCTACGATAATGTACTGGACAGCAAGGTCAGTAAACCCACCAGACACTCCTTGGAAACCCTAGCCAGTGTCACTATGAGTTGCAACTGATTCGAGGGCATATAACAACAATAGTGCATGAACCAAGGAGCCTGAGGGGCACAAGGATTAAGTGCTTGATTGCTAATCAAGAGGTTGGCCCTTCAAACTTAGCAGCAGCTCTGTGAGAGAAGGTTTGCTGATCTGTTCTCATAAAGATTACAGCCTAGGAAACCCCTTCAGGTAGTTCTCTTCTGTTCTATGGGGTTTCTATGAGTCAGAATCAATTCACTAGAACACAACAGCAGTGGTAATCTATCCATAAATAAAATAGAAAATAGTGAGGAGCAGGAGTACAGTTTCTAAAGGACTCATTATTAAGTTGTTAAGTACTGTCAGTTGGTTCTAACTCATAGGGGTTCCAAGGAGTGGCTAGTGAGTTTAACCACCAACCTTACAGTTAGCAGTCTAGTGCTGATTCTACAGCACCACACCAGGACTTCAAAGGCGTCTTAGTGATAGTTTAAATGTTCCATAATTTCATTGAAAGTGAAAACTCAACATTGTTGTGAATAGAGGTAAATAATGATGTATGCACAACCTTGGAACAAAAGGGCTCTGGGATACAGGGCTTGAGACATGGTTGGAATGGGCAAAAGAAGGGAAATAATGTTAAGATTCTTGGCTGTCTTTTGAATCTTGGTTTCCCTGGCATACCATTATAAAATAGACACTTGACAGTGAGAGAAAGGAATAGCCAGAAATATCACCATAGAAAGCTTGTAAGTGTGTCTTCTGCCTATAACTGATTGGAATACCTAAAATGGAGCTACAACATGCCCAGTGAAGGAGGCTTCCTGCGGCGCCTCTGCATTACATAAGACTATAGGTGGAATCCTGAACCACATCCTGATAGCAAAGATAAGATAGGTGGTAGCTCCCCAAAGCAGAATCTTCAGAGGTGAGAAATTTCCACTTGAAAGGACAAGCAGACCAGCCTGGAGCGTCTAGAAGAACAGAAGATACTTCTTGAAAGAAAGACCGACAGGAAAATATAAAACAATAACGGCAGTCCGAGTGATTACTACAAGTACAAGCAAGTTGCTTGCCTAGGAGACATCAAGCCAAGTGATCGGGTCCCCTCAGAGTAAACCCCCTTCCAAGACTAAGACTCAGCGGGAATACACACTCTGATTGGTGACCATGTTTGTCACCGATAAGGGGAAGTAAGGGAAAAACAGCAATGAAGTTGCGAACTAAGCCCTACAACGTTCAGTAGACTCCTGTGAACCCAGGTGGAGACCTAGGTGGCTAGCATAGTCAGTGATATAGCCACAGAGGACTAGAATGGAGAGTGAAGTGTCCAGCTGATAAGAAGAGAGGGCACATGCACAAGTACACCCACACTTGCAGATAATTCCCACCTGACCTGGCTTCAATGACTGGATGATCAGAGCTCCACTAGAAGAAGAAAGAAGAGGAAAAAAAGAGTAATCTGATACAATTTGATGAACTTGACCTACACCTACAGATGCAGTAGCTCAAAAGAGGGAATAAATCTTTACAGCAAGGATCATTCCCACCCCCTCCATACACAGAGTAAACAGGGATGGCAACTTGGACATTGACTGCCCAAAATGCGGCAGGGCTACAAAGGCAAGAAGTGACTGGCTTACAAGCTTTCAAGAGGGAACTTAGATCCAGAGGGCGCGGAGGAAGGTAGAATCTCCACTGAGTAGTATCCAATCTGTTTGGGCGGGGCTGATAAAAGGAGATGCGGACAGGTCTCTTGTGATACAGTAGTGAATAATTGTTATCAGGACTGACTGTGAGGGTTGGAAATGTAAAGGTAGACATTTTGTAACAAAAGGAGGGGAGTGATTAAGTTTTCAGTCTAGGAGTAGAGATCCCTGGGACCATCAAGGGAGAAGAGCAGAGAGCGGGACCCTACCCAGAAAAGCAGTGATGCCTGAGATGGAGGCAGAGATGATGACGTGGAGAGATGGAGCAGCAGCTGGGAACTTTAGACCCAGAGAGGGAGAGGGGCTGTGTGCTGACAACAGGGGGGCAGGCTTGCAGGGTATACACTTTGGTTGGTTGATGATGCATGGAGGGGATTGTAACCATGGCAATGAAACCATATAAGGTAGGATGAATGTAAAGCTAATGTTCTCCCATGTAAACTATCACATAATTCACAATAAAACATTAAAAAAAAAGGATTGTTGTGAAGCAGGTGCTGCTATTATTAAAGGGATGATTTTCAGTGTCTATCTCACTCCTGTCAACTTCCAGAGATCTGCTCCTGAGGCGAATGAGCCCAGATCCACTGCTGCTGAATCAGTTCGAACTCATTGTGACCCCATAGGATGAAGTAGCACCGTCCCACACGGTTTCTGAGACTGTCATCATTAGAAAGCAGTCTGCCACAGCTTTCTCCTCAAGAACGGCCTGTGGATTCAAACCACTGAGTTTTTGGTTAACAGCCAAACACTTAATCAGTGTGCCACCAGGGATCCTTTTGGAAGGTGATGTTGTTGTTGTTGTTAAGTGCCTTCCAGTTGGTTCTGACTCATAGCGACCCTGTATAGGGTATCCAAGGAGCGGCTGGTGAGTTTGAATCCTCAGCCTTGTGGTTAGCAGCCGAGTGCTACAGGGCCAATGGTTGTTGTTGTTGTTGTTGTTGTTAAGTGCCGTTGAGTCGGTTTCGACCCATAGCTACCCTGTACAGGGTTTCCGAGGGTGTAAATCTTTACGGGAGTAGAAAGCCTGATCTTTCTCCCGCGGAGCAGCTGATAGTTTCGAACCGCTGACCTTAAGGTTCGCAGCCCGATGGTAATGGGTGGAAATTCACAAGTTATATCTGCTATAGAATTGTTGTCGTTAAGTGCCATCGAGTCAATTCCGACCCTTAGTGACCCTGTATAGGGTTTCCAAGGAGCAGCTGGTGAGCTTGAACCGCCAACCTTCCAGTTCAAACAACTTTGTAATTTGATGCATTAACCCACAGCGCCACCCCAGGACTCTGGCTATAGAATAGAACCACCTAAATCTCTCTCCTGATGCCTCCTTTTCACTCTGCATTATGCTGTGTGGCAGAGGAGTTAATTGTGTCACAGAGATTTTCTTTCTTATAGAATCAGGTATCTTGATTTTACCTGGTTCAGAGAAAACTCTTTGATGCATGCCTTCTTATTGTATTACTACTTCTAGCTTGAGCTGCGCTGCTTAGTATGTAAATTGCATTTTATAACACTTATCTTTTCAAATATTTTGTTTGTTGTTTTTGTGTTTCCAGTTGGACTGTAAACTCCCTATTCTCCAGTCTCCCACGTGGATACTTGTAGGCTGCCTAATAACCGTGTATTTCCTTTTCCTCAGCCCTTCGTGTCTTACCTGTGTCCCTCCTATCATTTCTCCCCTTTATGCTAGGCCTTCCCCACACCAACACTCTTTTTTTACATTTTTTTCTAGATTCTGACATTGAAATTGAATTGGAGCTATTTGTAAATAAAACCACAGCTACAAAGCTCAACTCAGGTGAAGACAGCATTGAGGACATTCTGGTTTTGCACTTGGACAGGGGAAAGGATTACTTTTTGTCTGTTTCTGGAAACTATGTGCCCAGCTGTTTCGGCTCTCCTCTTCATACATTATGCTACATGAGAGACCCGATCTTGGACCTGCCACTGGAAACTGTTAGAGAGCTGGTGAGTTACATGCCACTAGGAAATACCTAGATCTGTGTAGCAGTCAAGTATTCATAATCATACTCTGTGCCTGCCTTTCAGGGACCTGAGAATTCTCCAGCCTCCTTAGTATATCAGTTAAATATTGCTGTATGGCAAATCACCCCAAAATATAAATGGCTTAAAAATGACAATGATTTGTTGCTGCTCATGATGCCATGGGTTCTGCTAATCTTGCTTAGGCTCCTTTGTATAGCTCCCATCAGATGACAGCTCTAATGGCTGGATCAATGAATCATGTCTTTAATGAGAATCTGCACAAAGCTGCTTCCTGTGAGGTGGAGGTTAAAGATGTTGTTCCACATGTTTAATTTTTCCAACTGGTGTACCCCCATTCCCCCCTCCTACCCCATGGTTCTCAGGACACTGACTCCTGTCCTTGAATTCAGTAATTTACTGCAACTTCTCATAGAACTCAGGAACCATACTTTACACGGAAGTGATTTATTAGGGAAGTAATTGGGTGCAACTCAGGATGTAGATAAGCTCTGAAGGAGCAGGAACAAGTCAGTTCCTCGATCAGGACAGCTTTTTCTCACTCTCTGCTGCTGGGCCTTGCTGCTGCCAGGCTCTGCTGGGGACCTTCTTGGGCAAGCGTTAACTCTGTGGGTTGGCAAGCCCCACCACAGCTGTCTTGTACCACTATCATTCTTGGCTACTGCTGCTTCACCAATTCTCTCTATTTCCTGGGTCTAAGAGGCTCCCAGTACAGGGACCCTCGATCCAAAGGGCCTGCTGAACTCCCAGCTCTTCTTTCTTGATGATTGTGAGGGTCCCCTCTCTGCTCTAGGATCGGCTCTCTTTTAAACCTAGCAGCAGGATGTTCAGACTGGCCCATTCCCTTGGTGATGGTGGTTATGGGCCGTGGAGTCAGTTTCAACTCATAGTGACCCTGCGTAGGGTTTCCGAGACTCAAAATCTTTACAGGAGTAGAAAGCCTCATCTTTCTCCCACGGAACAGCTGGTGGTTTCGAACTGCTGACCTGCAGTTTGCAGCCCAATTCATAACCACTACGCTATCAGAGCTCCTTATTCCTTTGTTAGGGTTCCATAAACCTTATTTTCATAGTCCTCCTCTACAATAGTGCTATGCACCTTATGTACATATATATTTGCAAGCTGTTCAAAGTCCTTGGTAGATGACAGGCATCTTATTTGCATAGTCCTAACCATTCACTATGGGTTAATGCGCTGGACTGCAAAGTCGCTTCAAACTGCAGGGTTGTCGCCTTATACAGGGTTGCTATGGATTGGAAACGACTTGATAGCACTTGACAACAACACCCATTCACTTAAAGGAGCCGTAGTACTGTAGTGGATTATGAGCTGGGTTGCTAATCTCACGGTCAGCAGTTCAAAACTACCAGGCAGAGGTTTCGAACTACCATCCAGAAAGATGCTCCCATAAAGATTTACAGCTATCTAAGTTCTATACAGCGTTGCTATGAGTCGGAACCAACTCGATGGCATACAACCACCACAACCCATTCATTTGGTGGATGATACAAGGACTGTGGCTAGAAGGCTATATTCAGGAATTCACTCTCCACATAGTGTCTCATCATTCAGTAGGCTAGTCCAGGCTTCCAACAGTAGTGGCAAGCAGTGCCGAGAGTCTAAGACCAGAAGCTGGGAGACCTCTTGTGGCCTAGGCTCCAATACGCAGCTAGTGCCACTGTGCCATTTCTTACTGGTTAGAGCAAGTTATGAAGCAGTCCTGATTCCAGTAAAAGCTGCAAAATATATGGCCTTGTTTTTTGATCTTTCATGCATAGTACATTAAAGAAACTCAGTTTTGGGTACTAAGATAATGAATGTTCCCTAGTCCATGATATTATTTGTGTGTTTTTATTATTACATCATATTTTATCTTCTAAACTGATTTTGCGGAGACCTGAAAGGCATCTATGGAGGTAATGCTAAGATAAGACTAATTTGGAGTAGATTTATGCTGTAATGTATGCTTTTTTGCCCCCAATGCTTCTTTTTATTTCTGAACTTAGGGCCTCTATCCTACCCCATTGTGTAGATGAAAGCAGAGGCCCAGTCAAGGAGAGTGATTTGTCACAGGTACCTTGGTGATTTAGCAGTGGAGCTGGACCTTCCACGCAGGGTTTGGACTCCTGAGTCTGTGGTGTTCTTCCCTCACCAGACCACCCTGTCTCGCAGGTTCTAACAGTGAAATGCTGTAGGCATGCTTATTGATTTTTGCCCCAAGAAGATGGTGCATATTTCATTGAAACTGCTTGCCATCCCCTCCCTCAATTCTCAGAATTCATCTTTTGCCGCGTGATTGTGCTACCTGATTTAACTTTTGCATGTGGAATGTTTGGTTAGATATTGAGATGCTTCTCTTTCTCCATGGGTTTGCTGTCCTCATGTTAGGTGTTTTCCTGATGTCACTGTGCCAGAAATTCCATTGGTGGGTGGGCCTTCTTGTCATGAGTTTTCTTTGTTTTCAGACTCTGATGCCAATACAGACTGAGGATGATGGGAGCCGGTTGGAGAAGCCCATGGAAATCCCCAAAGAGCTCTGGATGATGGTTGATTACTTGAACCGAAATGCTGTACAGCAGGTAGGTGGCAGTTAAGATTGAGGCCAAGCTGCCTAAGAACATTGGTCTTTAAACATCTTTACCCAAGGAAACCTGTAGAGATCTGGTTTTCTAGAGTGAATGCAGATGAGATGGGTTCATGTCTCACGGCTGTTACATACAGTAGTGCTCCTTCTCCCTCCCACCCTGGAAGCAGCCTTGCTGCACGGACAGTCTTCTCAGCACAGCAGGTTCTCTCCCCGCACCTGCCTCTGGCAGTGGGCGGGATTAGCTTGTTCACAAGGCGGGTCCAATGGAGAATCCTGGGCCATGACTCCTGGTTTCTAGTGTGACTTGGGCAAGCTTCATGGGATCAAACTGGTCAACTTTCCTGACCCATTTTTATAGGCCCCAGGGAGACCTATACAAATAGTAATCTCATAGCTCTACCACATTGATGCAACATGCTTTTGTATGTGTGTGTGATAGATACATACGTAACAAAACTTTAAAAAATTTTAGTTGTAACGAAGCATTAGCCATTTCATTTTATATACATATATATTGTTGTTGTTAAGTGCTGTCGAGTTAATTTCCAACACATAGCGACCCTGTGTAGGGTTTCCAAGGAGCAGCTAGTGAGCTTGAACCACCAACCTGTGGCTCAAACAACTTTGCAGTCCAGAGCATTAGCCCACAGCGCTACACCAGGACTCCATACATATATATGGTGGTTTTGTGCCGTGGAATCAGTTCCAACTCATAGTGACCCTGTACAGGGTTTCCGAGGCTGTAAATCTTTATGGGAGCAGAAAGCCTCATCTTTCTCCTGCAGAACAGCTGGTAGTTTTGAACTGCTGACCTTAAGGTTTGCAGCCCGATTCGTAACCATTACGCTACCAGAGATATGGTGGTGGTGGTTATGTTCTGTAGAGTCAGTTCTGACTCATAGTGACCCTGTACAGGGTTTCCGAGGCTGTCAATCTTTACAGGACCAGAAAGCCTCATCTTTCTACCATGGAACAGCTTGTAGTTTTGAACTGCTGACCTTGCGGTCCGCAGCCTGATACATAACCGCTACGCTACTAGAGCTCTGGGACATGTATATATGTATGTGTATGTAGCAAATGTAGCAAACATTTGCAACTTAAACATTGTGATAAAATATATAACAGAACATTTTTATTTCAACTTTTTAAAATACTTTTTATTGTGAATTGAGTTCAGGTTTGCTGAGCAGATCATCAGTTTTACATTCAGCAAATCATATACTTTGTTTCATTACAATGATTGCAACCCCTTCCATGTACCATCAGGTAACACTATTCACTGGAGTCACTTCAGACTCACAGGGACCCAAACTCATATAGGGTTTCCTAGGCTATTAAAAAATCTTTGTGGGAGCAGAAAGCCTCAGGCAGGTGGGCTCAAATCTCGACCTTGTGGTTCAAAGTCCAGTAGTTACCATATGGGGTCAACGCTCCCTCTGTTCACTTTAAGGCTTAGTAAATATAAAAGTAACAAAACATTTGCCATTTCAACTTTATTTCTTTTTGAAACTTTGTTGTGAATTGACTGAAGGTCTGCAGAGCAGATCATCAGTTTTACATTCAACAAATCATATACTTTGTTTCATTATAATGATTGCAATCCCCCCTCAGTAACAGTATTTAGTTAATATAAAAGTAACAAAACATTTGCCCTTAAACATTTTTTTTTATTGTGATAAATATATATGTACCAAAACATTTGTCATTTCAACTTTGTGTGTGTGGTAAATGCATATGAATATATAAGAAAACATTTGTCAATTCATTATTTCTTACATGTAAAATTCAGTGATATTGATTACTTATGCTCATCATGTTATTCAGCCATCATACTCATAATTAACAGAAGTTCAGTATCCCCTAAGCAACGAGTTCCCTTCCCACTCTTGGTATTGTTGTTGTGAAGTGCCGTCGAGTCGATTCGGACCCATAGCGACCCTATTGTATAGACTTTCCAAGGAGCAGCTGGTGAGCTTGAACCACTGACCTTGCAGTTCAAATGACTTTGCTGTCTGATGCATTAGCCCACAGTGCCACACCTTGGTATAGCCATTAATAAATAAACTTTGGTTTCTCTACATTTGCCTATTCTAGATATTTCATATAAAGTGGGGTCACACTGTTTATCCTTTTATAATCGTCTTATTTTACTTGACATAATGCTCTCAAGGTTCATCAGACAACATATTTTTAGGATATTCTCTGTTCATCATTTTTCCCACTTAACATCTATTGACTATTACAACATAGCAAGCACTATTTTTAGTATTTTAGGGTGTTGCTTCATTTAATAGTCACAGTAGCTCTTAGGTGAAAGCTCTCAGATGGTCAGGGTCCCCAAACTGATACCTCTGCAAGGGTGGGATTTACACTCAGAGTCTGACTCTGGATCCCTTATTCTACCTTCTCTGTAGAACTCCTTTTAAATGTAACTTTCAAGTAACACAAATAATAATTGTTACTGTTAACACAGCTATATGGCTTTAAATCATTTTATAAATCAAATTAATATAAAATATCCTGGACTAATGGAAATGCCTCGATTGCCGTAATCTTGTGTGAACAAAGCACTGAGGTGTCTTTTTAGCTCATTCCATCTTAAAATGGTGTACTTTGTTTTGGTTTTCTTTTTCCGGTTAATCCTCCCATGGCACTGCAAGAAGCCTAGCTACTTTGAAGCTTTCCCTTATGTTGGATCAATACCCTACCCAGTATTTTATAATAGATGTCTTGTCTTCCTAAAGACCTCTTGTGAAGACTTACTGGATGTATTAGTCATGATATGAATTAACTTTGATCAGATTGTCTACCAGGATGATCCAAGGGCTTCACCATGCTGCTCCTGTGTGTACTGTGCTGATGATTGTATCTCTGAGCCAGAAAATCATTGTTGGTTGTCTAGGAAAATAATTGTTCTGTGACTTTCTTCCCTTTTGCAGGAAGATCTGTTTCAGCAACCTGGCCTAAGGTCGGAATTTGAGCATATTAGGGACTGTTTGGATACTGGAATGTTTGACACCCTGTGTATCCTTCAGACATTCTGCTATATATGCATGTGTGTGTGTGTGTGTGTGTGAATATGAATGAGAGAAGTGAAAGAAAGGAAAATTTTTTTTTAAAGCATATTTGAAGGCTTCAAAGCTGATGTTTACTTAAATATTTGCACACAGCTTGGCTCTTTTGAGATGTCAGACTGGCATCCTAGTGCTTGAGCCAAGAGACTGATTGGGTAGGCAGTACTTCTGGCAGTGTGCTTGCTCCCGAGCCTTTTCTTATCCATGGGCACTAGCACCAGTGAGTGGCTCCTTAACCATGGACCAAAAGCTGCAAACAATCATTCTGTAGCTGAGGCCTTGCTGCTTTTCCTTGAGAGCCTGCCAGAGCCAGTCATCTGTTACAGCACCTACCATAACTGCTTGGAGTGTTCTGGCAACTACACAGCAAGTAAAGAGGTAAGGGCAAGCCTTGAACATCAGTGAACAAATGTTGCTAGCTCCAGGCTTCAAGGGCCCTAGGGAGCAAGGCTTGTATTATCCCTCAAATGCTGTGTCTTAGAAACTCAGCTCCATAACTTTACTTCCCAAACCTGTTCTTCCTCTCATGTTATTTCCCTCTTAATGCCATAACCATTAATTTCAGTGACTCAGCCCCGAAACCTGAGTCATTCATGTCTCCTCCCTGTCTTTTACCTCCTACCTGCTAAGTCCCAGTGATCTGTTAGCCATGCCCTCTCCTCCATTCTCCATCTGCTTACCATGGTCCAAGGCCCTACATCCTGGATATCAGGGTCCCTCTGTTGTTTTGTTTTGCACACTACCTTCAGATTGTATTTCCTAACACTCTTCTACCATGATACTATTTATTGCTCAAAAACAATAATTAGCTCTCCATTGCCAATTAATGGTTTTCTTAAACAAATATTTAAGACCTTCTGTGATTTAGCCTAGTGCACACATAAAATAATCTAGAACACTTGCTAATAATTCAGATTCTCTGAGCCTCACTCCAAATCCACTAAATCAGAATCTCTGTACATGGAACTCAGGAACTGATTTTATACAAACACTGATGATATGCACATAGCTGGGATACTCATTGAATTATTGCCTGATCCACCCCTCAAGGCTTGTTGTTGTTAAGTGCTGTTGAGTTGGTTCTAACTCATAGTCACCCTGTATAAGGTTTCTAAGGAGCGACTGGTGGGTTTGAGCCACTGACCTTGTGGTTAGCAGTCCAGTGCTTACTCTAGAGCACCACACCAGCCTTCAAGACTTAGCACATATTAAGTAGGTGTGCTCCTTCCAAAATTGATGTCTCACAATGTGTTCTCCTGATTTATCTCATGAGTTTCCTTTGTTGTTGTTAAGTACCATGGAGTTGGTTCCGACTCACAGTGACCCCTGCACATAGTTTCTGATGTAAATCTTGATGGGAGCACAACGCCTCATCATTCTCCCGCATAACCACTGGTAGTTTCGAACTGCTGACCTTGAGGTTGGCAGCCCAATTCTCTTCTTATGCTTTCTTTTGCTTTCAATACCCCATTCTTTGCTTCTGCAAATCCAGTTTTGTCTATATTCAATACCCACCTAAAATGCCTTTTACTCCCTGCAGCTCTTTGAGAACATGTAGTTATAAGCTTGACCTCTAAACTCACATAGTGCTTGATCTACACCTGCCTTTGTTTTCTGTGCACAGTCAGACTCATTTACTTAGTTCCTGAAATATAGGAAGCACCTGACAAAATAGTTGATCAATTAAACAAGACAAACCCCAGTTCTTTCTCTTTCAGGTCATTTCCACTCTCCCCACATTCCACAGAAATGTCTTCAATTATTTGATGGCGTTTTTGAAAATGTTGCTGAGAAATTCAGCAAAAAATCATTTGGATGAGAATATTCTAGGTAAGCAGCCACGTATCTGGGAGAAGCATCTCTGTCAGCTGTGAAACTCACCCTGTGAAGTGTGATTGAGGGCAGTCCCAAGTCCACTGCAGTAGAACGAAAAGCTCATGCTCTAGACAAAGTTGAAGCACATCACTAGTGTTTCTCAAAGCAGAAAATATTGTTTTTGGTTATTCTTCTTACTTTGTAAGAGCACAAGAATCAGTAGTACCCTTTTTGCGAAATCATTTGTTTTCTGTGTTTTCCATGCAGCTAGCACATTTGGCAGCTTGTTACTTCGAAACCCAGCTGGTCACCAAAAGATTGAAATGGCCGAGAAGAAGAAGGCTCAAGAATTTATTCACCAGTTCCTTTGCAGTTCACCCTGAGCCGCCCTGTCTCCTCCCTATTTTGCTAGAGGCAGCCATTACCAGTTCCACTTGTTTCAGCTCCAGGAATGCCTTAGGAGAGTGGAAGGCTCTGCGGGAGCAAGAATGGCAGCTATTTCCTGAGCCCAAAACCCATGGCTAGCACACATACCTACTGTGAGTTGTAAAGACATAGGGGAAAGTCTTCCACAATAAAACTGACAGTCAGTGTTCGACTTTAGTTATTTAACACAGATATAGAACTTTTTCTTCTAAAGTTAAAAAAAAGCAACAAAACCCCCTCCCCTGTACATCTTGTGCTCAATCAACCTGCCTCTAGGGCATAGTCAGTGCTTTCCTGGTGGCCTGGACTGAACTCCCATGATGAGCCACTATATAAACAAAGTTGGGCGTCCTTAAAGGAGAATGAATTGGGACAGCAAGAATGCAGGTGGAAGCTGCATTGGGACAGAGAGACCATGGCCACCCCAGGTGCTTCCAGTGCTTGCTGAGACTGAGGACCCCTGTGTGTGTGCATATGCACATGTTAGCTCCCTGCCTACTGAAATCTGGCTTAGGAACTCCGAGGCTGTCCACTGAAGACAACGCAAGAGCTAGAAAATGAAAACATGCAAGAAATCAGTGTTCTGATGAAACAAGTGGGATTCTTCTGGGCCAGCAAATCCTCCAAAGTGTATATAATGCACCTCTTATATGTATAATATATTTTGATGATAAATGTATTTTTAACAGCGGTTGTTGTGTATGTGTTTATCACTTTAAGAGATGGGGGCTCGTGACAGCCTTCCTGGTGTAAGTATTGCACCAGTTGGTCAGGGACTAAAGAAATGTTCACCTGAGAAGTCTGGTGGGTAACAGACACTTTTCCATTTTTCCAGCAAGCGATGGTACAACCATGACGTGAATTGCATGATGCTGATCTTCTCTCTTTGGGTTATCCCACTCTCAGAGGCAGCTTAAGGGAAAAACAGGCAGTATCTGTTGGAAGTGTTAATAACTAGATCTTCCTGGTATTTGGGTGTGACTGAAATGATACAGAAGGTACAAGAAAGATTGCTTTCTGGGTACTGGAATGCTACTGTTTGGTAGTGTAAAATGCCATTTAGAACTGGGCTAGAATGAAGAATTAGTGAAAGGAAATGGCCAGTAGGTGGAGTTCACTGGCCTGGGTGTGAGCCCCACTGAAGCTGATGACAGTGCTCTGCCTGAGAAAAGTTGGAGCAGCCAGCTTGGGCCCCTCTGGAAGTGTGTGAGAAGAGGCTTGGTCTGGAGTATCAGTTCTGTTGCTTAGGTCCAGTTTTCCACATTCAATAACACTACTGAGCACCTGCCTTCGCCTATATGAACTTGAATAAGTGGTGGTGGGGAGGGGTGGGGGAGCTGGGCCATGGATTGTGAAATCCGAGAATGCTTCTAGGCTCTCTCCTCGAAGGTCGGAGCCGGGAATCGGATGGCTAACTGGTCCTTCCCGTTGCAACTGTGAACACCAGGGCGAGCAGCTAGCGCACACCGGGCTGGAGCACTTTAGGATTAAGGGCTGGCAGTTCGTGCTGGTTCCCTGAGACAGACAGCAGGAGCCGCGCCTGGGCTTCCGATCGGTCGCTGGGTGTCTGGGCGCTTCTCCGCGCTGGTCGAACTCACTGGCCAGGCGTTGAACATTAGGAGCCCCGCCCCGCCCCTACCCGCTCTCCAATTGGAGGTTCGAGCTCAGCCCCCAGACAGCCTAAACCAACCAAAAGCACAAGAGAGCAGCACAACGACTTTCTCCCCCTTCCTCCGGAAAGCGGAAGCGGAAGTGACGCTTGGGAGAGGTGGGGGCAATCATGGTGCCGCTGGGGAGGGAAGAAGCTGCTGCTGCCGCCGTTGCCGGGAGCCGCGGAGGTAAAAGACGAAACTAGACTCGGCCTGGGCTTGGGACTTGCTGGGGGACGCGAGACTTAGGCTGCCTTCTGAAGCATTTCCCACTAGAGATCCCAATCCGGTCACCATAGGGACCCCACCCCTCCACCGTTTCCATGGGGATGGGTATCCAGCCCCCCTCCTCTGTTTCCATGGAGACCCGGACCCTGTCCCTCATCGCCCGGCTTGGAGACCCCCATTCTACCTCGGATTTTCCCATGTAGCCCTGTGCTGCGGGGGCTATCCCAGACAGGTTTCGCCTCTTCTCAGGGGCGCTTCGTTCGTACTCATCATTTGCCACCGTCAAACCTCCGGTACCGTTTGTTCCTGACAGTTAGTCTCCGCTTTGCTGCTGATGGTGCTGGGACAGCCCAGTGGGGCCCTAGGTGCTCTTATCTCCCCTCTCAGATGCAGCGAAATGTGCATCTACGGGGTTGCGCAAGCCAGAGTCAGGGGTCGAGCCGGTTCCTCCCAGACTGATCCCTGGAACGCCCCACTACATAACCTAGAACAGACGAGAAAGAATGTGTAAAGCCAGAGCAAAAACTAAGTGACGTGCTGATTATTTTTTAAATTCTCTATTCGGTCTGCCATACCCACATTAGTAGATCCTGTGTGTTTGCAGGTAAAGGAAGAATCACAATTCCAGAATAGGAAAGCTTCAAATTTGGTATTTAGTCCAAGAGAGTGTATCGGTAGGTTTTTCATTCATTCAGCTAACTTCTGAACTTCTAGTGCCAGTGTACTTTTGCTAGGGGCAAACAACACCAGATCGTTTTAGGAGAGAAATGTTGTGATCTTCATTAAGGTATGCCTCTCCACCCAGAAGCTGCACCATCTAGGAAGGAGGGAAGGAATGAACACCCTCCTTCTACTATTTGTTAGGCACTGTGCTTCATATTCATTATGACTTTAACTCCTCATGACAACTTTGAGAGAACAGGAATTACTAGTCCCACTTTGTTGTTGTGAAGTGCCATCTAGTTGGTTCCAACCCTGTAAGCCCAGAAAAGCTAACCCAAGTAGTAAAGGGCAAAGCCAGAATTAGTAGGTAGATGAGTATGATTTCCATGCTTTGCTCCTTCTGCCATAGACTGCACAGCCCTATGATCTGGATATGGGGGATATTTAGGTGGAATGTCCTTACTTGAAGCTTACCAAAACTCCTCCTGGAAGTAGCTACCATTTTGTGTGCTCTTTTATCCCCTTCAGGTATTTTGACCAGTCTTCATATTGTTTGACAGGAATTTCAGAAGGTCTTAGGAGCTGATTTGCTCTAGATATAATATGTATATATATGTAAAATTTTAAGGCTTTGTTCTTTCTTAAAAAATGATTTGAAGATTTCAGAGTTAAACTTAGAAAAGATTCCCAAGGAAGATGAGTTTTTATTGGCTTTGTCCTGCGCTTGCCTAGAGAGCGAAGGTGAGCCCTGTTAACTGTTGAGGAGGCTCCTGGGTGCTGTGCTGGGATGCTAACCCTGGCCTTGTTATATTGCAGACAGGTCATTCCATTTCCATTTCTCACAATTGGGCTGAGCAGGATTGAACCATGGGGGAACACAGTCCAGACGACAACATCATCTACTTTGAGGCTGAGGAAGATGAGCTGACTCCCGATGACAAGATGCTCAGGTTTGTGGATAAAAACGGACTGGTGCCTTCCTCATCTGGAACTGTGTATGATAGGACAACTGTTCTTATTGAGCAAGACCCTGGCACTTTGGAGGATGAAGAAGATGATGGACAATGCGGAGAACATTTGCCTTTTCTCGTCGGGGGTGAAGAGGGATTTCATCTGATAGATGATGAAGCAATGTCCCAGGGTTATGTGCAACACATTATCTCACCAGATCAAATTCATTTAACAATAAACCCTGGCTCCACGCCCATGCCAAGAAATATCGAAGGTGCCACTCTCACTCTGCAGTCGGAATGTCCAGAAACAAAACGGAAAGAAGTAAGTAAAGCAGGGGATGAGGGTCCAGTTTGGCACTAGGGAAAGTTCAACATCGACTGCTTCAATGCTTGTTGGCAATTTTAGCTGGGGAGCAAAGGACAATCACTGTGTGTGCTTCATGTTGTATTGTGGCTGCCTTTTGCTTTCTGGAACTTTTGACTTGTATGGCGACCTTAAACTTTTGGGAAACTAATTATAATTCTGATGGCACTTTAGGATAAGCACTGAATTGTTAAACCTAAGTTTCCATTATTCAACCCCACCAGCCACTGGGCTGGAGAAAGATAAAGCTACTATCGGTTCCCATAAAGGTTTACAGCTTTGGAAACCCTAACACAGGGTCATGCTGAGTGAGAACTGACTCTGTGGCACCTGACAACAATAACAAACCCTGAATAAAATAGAAATTTTACTGAGCGGGCACACCATAGTTTCTGATGCTGAAATAACTAGATTTGGCTTCTCTGATCATGAAATAGCTAGAGTTGACTCATCTCTGGGTTGTGTATAAATGGCTTGTTCTGGCAATGGGTATCTACCGGCATATGCTTTATTATCTTACAGAATGCTTAATGAATAATAAAGAACACTTTCTTTCACAAGAAATTCAGGCAGGAGACAGTAAATGAGAGCAGTGTATCTGCAGTAAGGTTTCCCAATCATATTAAACTAATGTAAGGTTGTGCATGTCAGAATGCTTTGAAAACTCGAAAGCATTGTACAGATTGTACTAGAGGTAGTTATTAGTGGAATAAAAGATACGGTTTAAAGGTTTCCAAGAATTGAATGCAGGTTAATTAGGCAAAAATAGGTCGCAATGGCAGGGAATGACTATAAGATGTGCCTAAACAGAAAGAGGGCAAATTGTTTTGCCAGATCTGTGTCTCTCTTATTGTAGTGAAAGTCTTGAAATCAGAGAATGACATAATGACTTTGCCTTTGCTGTCCTTAGAATTTAGAGCTGTTAAGGAACCTTAGACAGACACCTTATATTACCTCCCACCCCATGTGGGAGCATCTCTGGCATGAGGTCAGCCAGTCTCTGCTCGGAACCCTTCCAGAATGATGGCAAGACAGGGCCTCACAGCTTAGCCCAATACATTTTTGGCGATCCCTGATTATTAGAAAGCTTTTACTTGCACAGAGCCAAAATTCTATCTTCCTGCAGCTGTTACCCACTAGTCAGTCCTTCCTTCCTGAGTAACAGCAAGTTAACCTTCCTCCCCCAGGAGAGCCCATCAGGGATTCAAAGGTAGTTAACGGGGATTTCTCTTCTCCAAGCTAACTACATCCCTCCTGTGACATTGTCCCCTCTCTTATTATCCTGGTCACCTTGAATTGTATACATTCCAATTTTCCAGAGTCTCAGCAATGTGAA